GCTCTGTCAGGCTTGAAAAGCCATGGTCGCTGATTTACTGCCTTACTCCATGCACGAGGAATAATCTAGGATTATATTATTAAGAGAAAACAAGCACTTGAAGAGGTGACCAGATTGCGTCTCTGAATTGGGATCTCCTCATCTGTTGAATAGAAAACGATAATAATAATGATAAAGGCTCCCAAGCACTTGTACAAAAATATAAAATGCTTGGAACTGTGTCTGAGACATAGTAAATGCTCAATAAATTATAGTTTTAAATTGTTTTAAAAGACTTGGATTCTGTGTTCAGATCCCATCTCTGCCACCAACTGTGTATGACTTAAGCAAGTTATTAAGCTCTCTAGCCTGTAAAATGAGATTGATTAATAGTCCTATGAGGGTACTTCAAAAAGTTCACGGAAAGATTTGTATTATCTCTTAATTGTTTTTCCATGAACTTTTTGAAGTATCTTTATATAAGATTCAATCCAGGAAAAACACTCAATGATTAGCTAAAGTATGCTAAACTGTGCGATATTGACTATAAATATAATTGTAATAGTTGAGAGGATGGAGTGCCAAGGAACAGAGAATGGAGAATGCGTGTTAGAAAATATAAAGAAATAAGGAGATGGTCAAGAGAAGAAGTGAATATGAGACATATTTCATAGGGATATTTAATAACAAGCAACATACAGTAGTGTTAAAAGCATGGGGCCAGGCTGCCTGTGTTTGAATCCAGCTTTGCCACTTACTAACAAGTGCCCTTGGGCAAGTTATCTTACCTTCCTGGGCCTCAGTTTCCAACATCATAGGGGTTGTAATGCTACTTATATGAGTTAATCTATATAATGCACTTAATACAATGTCTGGTGCATACTTAGCATTTGGTAAGTGCTAGCTCTTCATATGTAATAGAGAGTGTGTTAACACTCTTTTCAGTAAAAATAAAATCAAGTTCTAAGTGGCAGATACAGAAATAAATCCTGAAGGGGTTCCATAGAGAAGAAACTCAGTATTCTAGGGAGAACTCTAAATCTGGGAACTTTCCTTGATCATAATTTGAAGCTTATAGACTAACAGATGAATAATACCAAGAGATCATCTCTGTTGGCTGTCACCCCTGGGACATAGAGGTAGGCACATCATTTAATTATCTGTTGTCTAGATAGGAAAAGGAATGTCTCGTAACTGAAAGGGGCAATCAAACCATCTATATGGTCCTTTGCTTAAAATGGTTTATTTGGCAAGAAAAAGTTTGACATATTCCTATACACATAATTTAACAATAGTTCTTTCAACTCTGTACTTCTAGTTGGCTGTGGCAATAATTTGATTCAAGAAAGAATGATTATGAAATATTGGTGACTATGTGGCTGGTCATCTTTTGTGAAAACCCATACCTCTAGTCTGCTGGTTACTTTAAACATAAAAACAAAAACAACATCAAAAATAACCTCAGTATTGATAAAAAGCTACCATTTGTTGAGTACTTTTCATGTACTAAGCACTATGCGAAGTGTGTAGCCTGTCCAAAATAACGAATCATCGTGGAGCTAGAATTCACACTTGAATGTCTCTGATTCCCAAGCCCAGGCATCTTACCATTGTGTTCCACACTTTAGAAAGTAGTGTTAGTATAAATTTTAACTGAAGCAGCATTCCATAGATTTAAATATGTCTTGACTCCAAATAACTGTGTATGCTTCTTCAGATGCCACCCATACTCATTCCAGAGTAACTTCATGGTGTCTGAGTCCAAAGTTGGTCCACTGCACATCACTTCCCTGCTCAAGAAATTTATCTAAGGCTCCCTGTGGCCCTTCATATGCCAGGTGCTTTTCTGTTTGGCTTTTCTAGGCCCTTGGTAGCCGATCTTAACCCTGCTTCCCCTTGAATCAAACAGGTTGCTGTCCGTTCTCTACGTGCTCTAACTTTCCTCTTTCTTTCATTAGGCCACCCCCTGTGCTTGTTGTACCTTTTTTTTTTTTTCCTTCCTCCTTTTTTCCCGGTGATCTAATTACACTCTTCCTTTAAGACTTAGCTCATGGCACATGCCCACTTAAAACCTTTGCTGACTCTCCAGTCTACCCCCAAATCGATGAACTCCTATTACGGAATCTTCAGCTCCCATTGTTGGCTCTTTTTCTCCTACTGCTTCAGCTTGAGAACAGGGACCATATTTTCCTTCTCTTTTCCACCAAAAAAAGTGTACTGAGCAACTACTCTGTCTAAGCACCTACTATCTCTAGACACTGAGGTTTTTTTTTTTTTTTTTTTTTTAAAAATAACCGGAA